TGTCCATCACTGTCTCCTGGAGCTTGCTCAGACTCATGTCCATCGAGTCAGTGATGCCATCTAACCATCTCATCCTCTGTCATCGCCTTCTCCTCCTGCCTTCAATCTTTCCCAACATCAGGGTCTTTTCAAATGAGTCAGTTCTTCACATCAGGTGGCCAAAGTATTGGAGCTTCAGTATCTGTCCTTCCAGTGAATATTCAGGGTTGATTTCCTTTAGGATTGACAGCTTTGATCTCCTTGCAGTCCAAGAGACTCTCAAGAGTCTTTTCCAACACCACAGTTCAAAAGCATCAATTCTTCGGCACTCAGCCTTCTTTATGGTCAGACTCTCACATCCATACATGCCTACTGCAAAAACCATAGCTTTGACTAGATGGACCTTTGTCAGCAAAATAATGTCTCAGCTTTATTGAGTTATTATTAACAAATAGCATTGTGTAAGTTTAAGGAGTACAATGTGATTGTTTGAAAGATGTATATAATGTGAAATGATTACTACAATAAGGCTAGTGAGCACATCTATCACCTCACATAGTTACTTTTTGCATGTATGTGTGTGGTGATAACATTTAATATCTACTGTCTCAACAAACTTCAAGTATACAGTATGGTATTATTAACTATATAACATTTAGCTTTATATATGTTTTTATTTTACCTGTTAGGTTATAAGCTACATGATGGGACAGTTTTTTTTTCCATTCATTCATTCATTCTTCCATCTCTAGGGCATACCTATGGTGGCTAGCAGAATATATGTGTTGAGTGTGTGCCATGACAGGTAGTACCTAAAACATAGCTTATTCACCCCATAATATGACTTTGGAAGCCACTCCAATGACTGGAAAGACTGGGCCCTGTTCTCCATCCTCTCTTAATATTCTTTTTATCCACTTCAGAAACCAGACACAGGAAACATCTGACCATAATAAAAGGTTTCTAGTCAGTTCTAGGTTTCCTCACTGAACAAAGTCATGTGTAGCAACGCTCTGTTGTGCTTCGGTCTGGAATTCTGTTTGGTCGCTTGCTTAGCACACCACATGGCTGCCTCTGGCCTCAGAGTCTGAAACAGCTGGAGCCCGGGCTGCTTGAAATAAAAATGACATTTTTGTTAGCCTGAGAGGCAGAAGTCTGGATATTCTTGCTCTGCTTCTTGCAAAACAAACTTTTCAATTTGTTGAATACTGAATTTTCCCTTTAGCTGTCAAAATGATTTATGGCTCAAATGATCTTACATCCTTCAGAATAAACACAAAAAAAATGAATGGCCAAACTGATTCTCAAATCTCTGCCTTAAATGCTCAAAGCAATATCCATCCAAATTACACAAAACATGATATATGTCCCTGACTTCCTCCTGAAGTTTCTGCCCTCTCACTTGCATCTTCTGCAGTTTAAAGACACACACTCTTGGGAGCATTCCACCACCACTGGAAATAATATTTACAAAAACTCTGACTCTTTCCAGTAAGACTGTTATCTGTTTGGTGCTTGCTTCTTGCATATCCTTATCATGCTTTATTTCTAAGTGCCAATTGACATCTCTGCTTCCTTGGCTGGAAGGCAAAGACCAGCTCCTATCTGCTGGATAGAATAGATCAGATAGGATAGATTAGATAGACCAGTTCATATCTCTAGTATCACCAGGCCTGGCACATAATGGGCCCCTGATAATATTTGTGAGAAGGAAGGAAGAAGAAAATAATTGTTTAAAAGCTGGTCTAAAAAAAAAAAAAAAGCTGGTCTATTTAGGAATTGAGGTTACTGAGGTATAGTTAAGTGTCATGAAATGTAAGGAAAGGGAAAAGCCAAAAAGCTTGTCGGCACATACAGTGAATCAGGAAGGCGATCAAGAACCTGCCATCCTTTTGCATTGGTACCAGTGAGTTAGAGGTTAAAATCCTAGAGCTGGATTAGGAAGTTTGTTCCTAAGTTTTTTTCCCTCTGATAATAACAAGTTACATATTCACTATAGAAATTTTTCAAAACTGCAGGAATAAATATCATCTATAATTCTTTCACCCAGAGACAACCGTTGTTCGCATATAAGTTTCTTTTTTTTCCTTTTACTCTTTAATGTTTTAGTCTTTTAGTTAACATGTAGCCTTTTTTCTTTTAGAAAAAGATTGAAAACTTTGAAAGAGATTATTTCAGAACTGCTTGTGTGTACAAAGACAGTAAATTGCAACTGGAAAAATACTTGTCAACTGCAATAAAAATTTGAGATGGTGTTACTGTTGCTCACCTGGGCAGTCAGCTTCTCAGAAAGGCTTTGCTAATCTCCTCCAGGTGACTGTGATCCCTCACCTAGAAAGTGCTTGGGGCCCTTTCCTTATTCCCCCTGCACTGCTTTGTGGGAATGCTTTCATCTCCCAAGGATGAGGCTGGGCTTGAACCTTTGAATCTTTCTGCTACAAGGACATTTCAAGGTTGACTTGAATTGAATGAGAATCTCTGTGCAGAATAGATCTCTCCCCTCACCAGTTTGTGAAATATCACTCAGATAACATCACCTTTGAAAGGAAGCGAAGGAAACAAACATTCCTTTGTTTAATGAGCATGTTGACCACTTTCTGAGTGTCAGTCAGTGCACTTGACATCAAAGCCTCAAAATGAATAGACAGTCCTTGTCCTCAGGGGACGTGCAGTTTAATGAGAGAAGAGCGAGAGTAAAGACAGGATTATAAGGCACTATGACAAATGCCGTAATAGCATGCAGTGATGGCCTAAAGAGAAGGGGCAGAGTTGACCAGAGAAGGCTTTAAGAGGAGGAGATGATCTGTTTGGGTCTTAATAGAAAAGTGAGAGATTTTCTATGCAAGTGGGCAGAGAAAACAGTATATCAGATGTCTGAAAACATGAAGGTGAAGATCTCTTTGGAAAAATAGAAACAGTTTAGCATATCTGGAACATGAGGTATATTACAGGTCATAAATTAGCCAGAATGGTAAAGACCTTGAAGGTCAGAGCTTGGACTTTATCTTTCAGGCTAGAGGAAGCCACTGAAGCATTTTAATCAAAGCAAAGAGGTGGTCAGGTATACTTTTTAGAAAAATCATGCAGCAGTATAAAAGATGATGGCAGTAGGCTAAGTTGGAGGTTTAAGTGTGGATAAGGGGGCTATCAGAACACTCCCAGCAAAAGAAGGATAGGCAGATATCCACAAAAGGCAAAGGTGGCGCTAGTGGTAAAGAACCTGCCTGCCAATGCAGGAGACATAAGAGACGCAGGTTCAATCCCTGGGTCAGGGAAGATCCCCTGGAGGAGAGCACGGAAACTGCAGTATTCTTGCCTGGAGAATTCCCATGGACAGAGGAGCCTAGTAGGCTGGCAAAGAGTTGGACACGACTAAGTGACTGAGCACACACCGGGTGTTATGTTGGTAACATATCAATGAACAAAGCATCCATAGTGTCTGTCTTTATGGAGCTTTTAGTCTAGCAGTGGGACAGATGTAACTTCCAGTTTTGGAACTCTTGTGTCAGATTTCCATGTACAGTACAAAGAAAATGACATACACCTGAGATCTGAAGGATCCTGCTGGGGTGGGATGCTTCCTGGGGTGCAGATGCTGCTCCTATAGGCAGCCAGCTAGCATTCCTTTGTAGTGACTGAGCCTTTTGAATATGATCCTTTTTGAGTCTGGAGTCTCTGGGGTTATGTTGGGCCTTAAATTGTTTTGGTGTCCCTTGTATTATTAATTTGCATTTATTGAGCTATGTGTTGGCTTTATGCCATCATTTGTATTGGCTCCTGTTGTAGGAAACAGCCATAAAAGATCCACAGTTATTTATCATGTAATAGAGATGTTGTAGAAGTTAATAGTCTTTAACATGGTGTAGCATCTCCATTTGTTAAGACCTATAAGAGGAATTTCTTTCTGATCACTATATAGTATTTGCTTTTCTACTTCTGGTTGCTCTGAGGCACCCTGTCCAATCCTGCTTCAGGTCTCCCCACAGGACACCCTCTGCCTGGAATGCCCCTTCCCTTCTTGTTGGGTTTAACCTCTATGTGTCCTACACATCCATCAGCTTGTAGTTCAGGTGTCACTTCTTTAGGGAAGCCTTCCCTAACCAATATACACTCCCCTTCCAAACTTTTAGTGCTTTTCCCGCACTCTTTATTGTTGTTGCTTTTACTTCATCAGTTTTCAGTTGAATGAGTTGTTGTTGGGTAGCTTTTTTTCTCTTAGACTGATGACAGGTCCACGAGGCTAGAGATCATGCATTTTTTGTGTGTGTCTGGATCGCAAAGCCATAGTATAGTATCTTGCGTGTAGTAGATGCTCAATAAATATTTACTGAATAGTTGAGTAAATGAATGAATGAATATACTGTGAGCCCTCAGTCTTGTTCATTTTCTCCTTTATTTAGCTGTTTGGGAGCTCGCTTAGATTTCTTTGATTCGACCTGTGGTGTTTGGTTAGGTCCTCATGGCATGTATTTTGTGCACTAACATTCCCCTGACTATATAATATTTTTCCTTCCTTTGATTTCTTCACTTTTAAAATTCCAGTGTATACTGTAAATTCCTGTAAGTCACCTGATGCCTTTTGGGGGAGGAAATAATAAACAATTGGATATAATAATAGGAAAAGAAAGTAAGTCAAAGGAAAATGTTGGTGCCTTTAACCAGATGCTGGAGGGAAGTTTTCTTTTGCTTTGTTTTAATTTTATTTTCACTGTGAGAAGGAAAAAGAAGTAAATTTGTCCCCTAGTTTGGCAGGAAATGCGTCTGAAGAATTTGGGCCATGTCTCTGCCCTGAGATGTTCCTCCCAGTGGCAGGAGGCTGGGGCTGGGCTCAGCAGGGCCTCCTGGCCCAGTGGATGGGTGGGATGGACCTGTGGAGGCTATCTGTGCAACTGATTCCAGTCCTGTTGACCTTTCCTTGGGAGAGGGTTTGGGCAATGCCAGTGAGAGCTTGCTTTTTTTTGTTTGTTTTTGTTTTTACCGTAAGAAGGAGAAAGAAATGAACTTGTCCTCTTGTGTTGCAGATTCAGTGGTTCTTTCCTTTGACTCCGCGGGACAAACACTAGGCTCAGGTACCAATCCCTCCCCCTCTGTCATCCTTTCTGCTCTCAGTACTGGCCACAGTTGAAGTGGAGCCTAATGAGGTGGGGGAGGGGGTGTCTGGGGAGGGCACTGGAATATCTTAATATTGTGGGAAGATCTCAAGAAGCTTTTCTAGGGACCCATGGTCTGGGAAGCAGCAGTGGGATGCAGCATCCAGAGGACTTCGCCAGTTGCTTTAAACGTGTGCAGCAAAGAGTTTGCAGTAGATGCTCCTTCCTCATTCAGGGTGGTCCAGGGTCATAGAAAAGATGTCTGTTTCCTGTGCACACATCCTGTCTCAGAGAGAGATGGGCAGAGACCCCTGAAAGACCCCAAGCTCTGGGCACGCAGGAGCAGTGGACCATCAGGGTCTCCAGGAACATGCTGGGCTGGCGAGAGCATCACAGCTTCCTGAGAACACACACCCTGTTGTAGGTTCACAGGCACACCCCGTATAACTCAAATACACGCCTCCTGTGTGTACACCTCCTGTGTGTAGGGGCACGGTACTGTGCACACATGCTGAAGCGCTCCCATGCTTCCGTGCGTCGACAGTGCAGGACGCAGAAATCAGCACACCCACCGCTTTGACTCAGATCACCCAGGCTTAGTGGAGCCCAGCTCTTCCCTGTCTCAGGCTGTCTGCCTGCCCCACAGCACTCTGCTGTTGGCAGTGAACAGAAAGGGAAGACACTGATTCTTCAACTTGCTGCCATTGCATCCATATGGGAGCCCCAGAATGACTTTACCTCATGAGGAGAGCATCTCCATGCATCAGGTCTTAAGTTTTAGTTGAAGATGGTGGTCCTTTTACCATAGGTGCTGCCTGCGAGTAATAGGGAGACTTTGCTGGCCTGTTAAAGGCAATTAACCCATTTTGCTGTGGTTAACGGCAATAGATTGATGTTTTACAATGCAGCTATGAGGTTCAGGCTGCTGTAGCAATGTGGACGAGGGGAAGAACGATCAGAGAATATAATCTCAGCTACCACTCTTCACTGAGGGCCTGCTGTGTGCCAGCACTAAAAACACCAAAGCCAAGTGCTTTGCACACTTCTTGCAAGGTAGATAGTAAGTACATCTTTAATTATAGATAAAGAAACCTAATACTCAAGAGTCAAAGTACCCTGTCCAGGGCCACTCATATCTGTCTAACCCTAGAGCCTATACTCTCTGCCTTGCCATCTTGCTGTCGCATACCTTGATACTTGATACTCCACTGAAATGCTTTAAGACTGAACGGACAGATAGAAAGAGTTTTGAAATAGGCATAAAGTTGTGTCAATTCACATAGAAAAAGATGAATCAATTTTATTACACTTATTACAATTTATTACATTACAATTTTATTACAAAGTAAAACTTCTGTTAATCAAAAGATACCATTAAGAGAGTGAAAAGGCAGAGTGAAAAAAGATATCTATAACATAAATAGCCCACAAAGGGCTTGTTTCCAGAATAAAGAGCTACAAAGATCAATGTGAATAAAGAAGCAACCCTGTATAAAAACAAGCAAAAGACCCAAATAGGCCCTTCACAAAAGAGGAATCCAGATGGTCAATAACCCAATGAAAAGGTTTTCAATTGTATTAGTACCTAGGGAAATACAAATTAGCATTTCAAGCACAAGCTGGAATCAAGATTGCCAGGAGAAATATCAATAACCTCAGATATGCAGATGACACCACCACCCTTATGGCAGAAAGTGAAGAAGAACTAAAGAGCCTCTTGATGAAAGTCAAAGAGGAGAGTGAAAAAGTTGGCTTAAACTCAGCATTCAGAAAACTAAGATCATGGCATCCAGACCCATCACTACATGGCAAATAGATGGGGAAACAGTGGAAACAGTGACAGACTTTATTTTTGGGGGCTCCAAAATCACTGCAGATGGTGACTGCAGCTGTGAAATTAAAAGATGCTTGCTCCTTAGAAGGAAAGTTATGACCAACCTAGACAGCATTTTAAAAAGCAGAGACCTTACTTTACTGACAAAGGTCCGTCTAGTCAAGGCTATGATTTTTCCAGTAGTCATGTATGGATGTGAGAGTTGGACTATAAAGAAAGCCGAGTGCAGAAGAATTGATGCTTTTGAACTGTGTTGTTGGAGAAGACTCTTGAGAGTCCCTTGGACTGTAAGAAGATCCAGCCAGTCCATCCTAAAGGAAATTAGTCCTGAATATTCATTGAAAGGACTGATGTTGAAGCTGAAACTCCAATACTTTGGCCCCTTGATGTGAAGAAACTGACTCATTTGAAAAGACCCTGATGCTAAGAAAGATTGAAGGTAGGAGGAGAAGGGGACGACAGAGGATGAGATGGTTGGATGGCATCACCGACTCAATGGACATGAGTTTGGGTAAACTCCAGGAGTTGGTGATGGACAGGGAGGCCTGGAGTGCTGCGATTCATGGGGTCGCAGAGAATCGGACACGACTGAGCGACTGAACTGAACTGAACTGAGTTACTACTGCACAGCTACCAAAATAAGGACACTTGAAAAGCCCGATAAAAGGTTGGTAAGGATGTGATGCAGTGGAAACTCAGAGTCTCTGCTGTCAGGGGTTAGGTTGATCACAACCACTTTGGAAAAAACTGTGGTAGTGTCTAGCTAAATCTGAATATATACCTACCCATGACCTGGCATTTCCTTCCCTAGGAAATATATTCCCTGCATAAATAGATAGTTACATATATATATATACCAGAATATATGTATAAGATAACATGTGTAAGAATCTATCTCTGTCACTGAAAGCAGCTAAAGGCCTGGACATTTAGCAGCTATTTGAAGACTCTGAAATATAAACAATAGTAGACAGATTGGAGGAAAAAACTAGAATTAGAAGTACTACCACACTGGCAGTGGATTTCTCATTTTTCCTCTGGTATCCCATCTCATGGACTCAAGGCATCCCAAAACCTGAGCACAAACAGAGTAGACATCAGGGCAAAACTGGAGAGAATTCCAGAAGACCTCTAGTTATGGTTCTGTTTGGGAAAGGAGCTCTAAGGCTCAGATAGAGGGGGGTATCCCAAAGGTCATTTTTTCTGTTTTCTCATGCCTTAATCCCCAGGCAGTCCCTGAGTGGTGATGATGGCAGTGCCCAGTAACAGCAGTGGGGCTTTCAAGCACCTAAAACTGAGGAAAGGAAATATTCTTCTTTGATCAAAACTTCCTTTCTGAAATCCCAAGAGGGTGGGAGGAAATCCAGTTGCCTTTTCTCTCTTGGCCTTCTTGTTGCTTGGTTCCAGATTTGGGTACAGTTTAGGAAACGTGTGGCAGAAAGTGGTAAATAAAACCTCAGCTTTTGGGCCAGAGGATCAAGAAGGTGAGGCCCAATAAACTGGAAAGTGCAAGGAGATGGCAGAGAGGAAGGAGCTCAGGAAAGTGACTCCATAATGTATGTGAACTTCTGGGCTAACCCTGAGCTGTGCATGTGCGCGTCTGATTCCAACCAACACACCAAACATTTAGAGAACTGAGCTAAGGGATGGACCAGACTAGACACTGGGTAGTGTGCACAGAGGACACACCTGAACAGGCTTTGAAAATAGAACTGGCATTGAAACTGGTCAGAACTTGTCACCTAAATCCAACCTGGCTGATTGTCTGGTGAAACAAAAATATCAGCATTCTCCACTGGATTTAAATCAGACCTGGGTTTAAACAAGATTTAAACACATTTCACAATATAATATTCAAAATATATAAGACACAATCTAAAATTAATTATCATATGAAGAACCAGGAAAATCTCAACTTGTCTGGGAGAGACAATCAATAGATGCTGATGCTAGGATGATGTTGAAATAATCTGACAGACTTTAAAGTGGCATTTATACAAATGCTCCTGGACGCCTTTCTCCATCTCTTCCATCTGGCTGTTCCTGAGTTAAATCCTTTCTTAATAAACTGGTAATCTTGTAAGTAAACTGTTAAAAAAAAATGCTCTCAAAAGTAAGGATAAACACTGTTGACATGAATTTAGATAGAAAGTGTTAGCAGAAAAAGAAAAAAACTTGTATATATAACCAAATGGAGATAAAAGAAAAAAATACAATATTGAACATTTAAAAACTCTGCTGAATAGGCTCAATCACAAAATGGAGATGATGAGCAAAGAATCAGTAAACTTGAAAATAAAGCAGTAGAAACTATCCAATGTGAACAATAGAAGAAAAAATGTCAAAGCGGTTGAACGGTGGCTCAGTAACTTATGGGACAATGCTGGAAGGTTTACTGTCTGTGTTATTGGAGTCCCAGAAGGAGAGAAAGAGTGCAGTACAGAAGAAATGTTTGAAGAAGTAACGGCTTAAACTTCCCGAATTTGGTGCCCAAGTAGGGTTTATCCTGGGAATGGAAGGCTGGTTCAGCATTCAAAAGTCAATCAGTGTAATCTACCATATTAACTGTTTAAAGAAGAAAAACTACATGGTCATGTCAATTGATAAAGAAAAAGCATGTTAAAATTCCACACGTACTCACGATAAGAATTCTCAGAAAACTTAGAAGGGAACTTTTTCAATCTGATACAGGGCATCTACAAAAAGCCTACAGCAAACATCATACTTTATGGTACAACTGCTCTCCCCCTAAGATTAAGAACCGCTCCTGAAAGTCCTAGCCAGTACACTGAGAAGAAAAAGAATGAAAAAGAATGCAGATGGGAAAAGAACAAATAAAACCAACCCTCTTCATAGGTGACATGGTTTCCTACATAGAAAATCCCAAGGAATCTGTTTTTAAATGCCCATCAGCAGACGAATGGATAAGGAAGCTGTGGTACATATACACCATGGAATATTACTCAGCCATTAAAAAGAATTCATTTGAATCAGTTCTAATGAGATGGATGAAACTGGAGCCCATTATACAGAGTGAAGTAAGCCAGAAAGATAAAGACCATTACAGTATACTAACACATATATATGGAATTTAGAAAGATGGTAATGACAACCCTATATGCAAAACAGAAAAAGAGACTCAGAT